CAATGTCAGGTATTTGATGTCAGATATATTTCAGATACGAACTGATTTTCAATAAAAAACCATAACGAAGAGTTAGCTTTATTGAAACCTCTTCAACTTGGCGCCCAACGCAAATAAAGCAAAGGAAAAAGAGCAAGAAGAGAATCGAACAACAAAGCTGACCAAGTGAGCATGGAACAGCAGAGTGATGATAGTTTCCTGCATAACTATGATCTGCGGAAAAAAGTGGGTCGGCAGAGATTAGGTGATGAAATGGATCGAAATAAAGAAAGTAAAGGAGCCATTCCAAAACACTACATAAGTCTACTAGAAAGAGAAGATGAGGAGGACGAAGAATGCCAGCAAGCAGGTAGTATGCGGGAGGTGAACCAGATGAGATATAGAGAAGGAGGTAGGGAAGGAATGAATGTGCAAACTGATGTTGAAGTTGGACCTCGACGTGAAATGAACGAAGGTGGCAGGGATAGTCATGTTGGAATTCAAGATAATGGGACACGACGGGAAGAATGTTTAATCACTAATCCCAGTCAATCTTTATTGAGATCACATAATGAGTTCAATGGTAGTCAATTGACTGATTTAGTTACTGATATTATCTCAAATCTTGTAAGGAACAACTTACTCAATAATACCAGTGAGGGTCTTAACAATAATTCTCAGATTGGTAATGTAGGAATATCTAGGAAATTGAATAAGTTTGACAATACGTCCGGTTTGCATCCGCTCGATTTTCTAGAACAGGCTGAGTATTTTTTCAATCAAGAAAGGTGCTCATTCAGACAGTTTGTACCGATGTTGAAAAATAGTTTAGATGGTGAAGCGTTTTCTTGGGGTCAGGTGTTTTTGCACAAATTCAATGATTTTTCCGGGTTCAAAGAGACATTCATAGAACATTTTTGGAATGACGATGTGCAAGAAACAGTACGGGAAAGTTTACAGGGTGATAAGTTTGATGAGAAAGAGGGATCTTTAGTTGACCATTTCATGAAATATATTGCTATGGCGAAATATTTAGAACCGAAAATTCAGGAAAAACAATTGATTAAGATTATTGGGAGACATTATCCGGAACATATCGCTGTAATGTTAGTAGGGGTGAAAAATATTGAAGATGCATTAGAACGTTTGAGACAGATCGATTATTATAGGAAGGGATCTAAGAGGAGACCATCATCTAAATGTCATGAGGATAGTTCTAAAGAGTATCATCGGAAAGAGGTTCATAATGAGTTTTCCAGAAATTCAAACGAGGGAAGAAATTATTCACAAAGGAATTTTCCTAGGAATGAATATAATAGAGAGTATTATAAAAAACCGAATGTTTCCAATAATCAAGAAGGAGCAAAAGTTAGTTCAGGGACTAGAAATATTCGATCAAGTGCTGATTTTTCCTATTCGGGTGGTTCGGCTGTCACTAAGCGGGGAGCAGATGAACCGGTTAATAATAAAAAAATGTTGGTTCTCAATGAAGAAGATATGAATGTTGTCGATCAACAGCAGGAAAACGATCAGTTTCCTCACGAGAATTAGGTTCTATCGTGGGGACAGTGATAAATAGAGCCAACTCATATTGTAATAATCCTCGAGAGGAGTTACTTGAGGAATGTAATTTCGAGCATAATATGTCAAATTCAAAATCTCCGGTTATTTCAATTGTTTTGTTTCATTTTAGTTTTCCAGCGTTAGTTGATAGTGGGTCTGAAATTTGTGCCATTAGTGAGGACGTTTGGACTCAGTTAGCAGAGTTCCATAATTTAATTCCAACTTTTCGTTGTACAGGGGTGAAGGTAACTGGTGCGTTTAAAAATCACCAGAAAAAAATACAACAGCAATCCATGCTTACGTTTTCAGTTGAAGGATTGACTGTCTGTCATGAATTTTTATTGATTCCATATTTAGCATATCCAGTGATTTTGGGTATTGATTTTCTTAGACACCATTCTGCAAAATTAGATTTTGAAAATGAGATAATTTTGATGAAATCAGGTATTAATTGGTTTGAAATTCCAGAAATCAAGTCACAGCATGAAGAGAATGAATCTTTTCAAATGAAATTGATCAATACCGAAAAATGTGTATATTCAGTTCAGCAAACAGATCAATATTTGTCAGGATGTGAAGATTTTGATGATACCGTTGAAATGGGCATGATAACTGATGAGCAAAAGAACATATTCCGAAATTTTTTACATACTCATCGTCATTTATTTTCTGACAGACCAGGTTATGTTACAGAATATGTTCATCATATTCGTTTGAAGGATGAGACAGGATTTTGTATGAAACAATATCCTGTGCCGCTTAGTCATAAGTCAGCTGTACAAAAACAACTAGATTTGATGCAAGAATGGGGGGTTATAAAGCGTATGGTAACACCATATATTTCACCAATCATGACTACTTTGAAAAAGGATAATAGTGTGCGAGTATGTTTAGATGCAAGACATCTAAATAAGATTATGGAGCGAGAGTATGAAACTCCGCGACCAATAGAAGAAATTTTACATTCATTCGGTAATATTAATTATATGTCTTCATTAGATTGTACCCATGGATATTGGCAAATTCCGTTATCAGCTGAATCGCAACGGTATACAGGGTTCAGATTCGATGGAAAAACGTATTGTTTTCAGACACTTCCATTTGGACTGTCAACAAGTGTTAGTGCATTTTGTAGATGTATGACTACTGTGTTAGGTCCAGAATTTGAATCGTTTGTGACAATTTATGTTGATGACATTTTGATAATTAGTAATTCATTCGAACAACACATTGAACATTTAGATCGTGTATTCAAAAGACTTAAACAAGCAGGGTTCACGTTACGATTACGGAAATGTTTCTTTTTCCGACAAGAAATGAAATTTTTAGGTTATATTTTAGATAAAACTGGAGTCAGACCAGATCCAAACCGTATTCAGGCGATATTAGATTATGAAAAACCAACTAATGTCAAAGAACTTCAACGATTTCTAGGTTTAGCAAATTATGATCGTTCTTTTTGCGAGAACTTTGCCACCAGTGCAGCTCCTTTAGTCGCGCTATTGAAAAAGACTAATAAATGGCATTGGGGAGACAAAGAGGAGATAGCATTTAGCCAGTTGAAATCAAAACTTCAAGAAAGTACATTATTGCATCATCCTCGTATTGATAGTTCATATTGTTTGCAAACTGATGCTAGTGATACGGGTTTAGGGGCTCAGTTATTTCAATTGGTAGACGGAAGACGTTATCCAATAGCTTGGGCGAGTCGAGTTTTGTTAAGTCGCGAAAAAAGATACCATATCAACGAACGAGAAGTTTTGGCTTTGGTTTGGGCATTGAACAAATTCAGAATATATCTGTTAGGCCGTAAATTTACTGTTTATACCGATAATAGCTCGGTGACATTCCTGCACAGTTGTCGGTTGTTATCTCCACGCATTGCTCGTTATGCACTTGCTATTCAAGAGTATGATTTTGAAATAAAATATATTCCTGGATCTGAAAATGTGGTCGCTGATGCATTGTCACGACATTCAATTAGTCGTCCACTAGTTCCAAATGATAAACTATTCAAAATTTGTCCTGTATTAAAATTACCACAAGAATTTCAAACAGCTATTGCTAGAATTAGTGAAGATCAAAAACAAGATGAGAAATTATCAGATATAATTCAACAACTACCGGTTGATTCAAAGTTACAATTGAATTTTTGTGTACATAAAGGAATATTATATAAACGCAGTAGTCACGATGAATATTATTTACTTTGTATTCCAAAAGTATTAGTAAGAGAATTCACTGAGGCTTATCATGTAGCTTTAGGTCATTTTGGGTCGTATAAAACGTGGAATGCGTTGAAACGAGATGTGTGGTGGAACAATATGGCGAAATCTGTTAAAAAGATTTTGAAAGAATGTGAGATATGTCAGAAAGCAAAATGTTCAATTTTACCCAATCCTCCATTTGAATCTATAATTCCAGATGAAAAAAATGCTTTGCTAGCCCTTGATTTGTTCGGTCCATTACCAATGAGTAAAGGTGGAGTAACTTTTGTATGCGTTATTTTGGATGTATTTATCAAATTTGTAACTTGTTATGCGTTGAAAAAGGCAACTACTAGAGCAATTTTGAATCGCTTAACAAAACATTATTTTATGACAATGGGTTATCCAAAAAGTATACTAACGGATCATGGAAGTCAGTTTACTTCTTTGAAATGGCGGGAAATGCTAGAGTCACTCAATATTAAAGTAATTTTTTCATCTATTCGACATCCTCAGGCCAATCCTGTGGAAAGGGTCATGAGAGAGCTCGGAAGGCTATGTAGGACATACTGTCATGAACAACAGCAGCGGTGGGCAATTGAATTACCGAATTTTACATCATTTTTAAATAACGTGGTGCATGAATCGACAGGGTTCTGCCCAAACGAATTACAGTTCGATGCCAAACCAATAAGTCTATTGCCGCCAAAATTTCGTGGTCCCTCCACCGATACAATACCTATTGATCATGCACAGAAGTTGATATTGGCTAAAGAAACCCTGATGAATAAGGCTGCCCGTCGTGCAGTACAACGACCGTCAGTTCGACCCTATCAATTCAATTTAGGTGATCTGGTGTTATTGAAATCGAATCCGAGTTCATCTGCTCTCCGAGCAGAGACCAAGAAGTTTTTATTACTATTCGAGGGACCCTATAGAATAAAAAAACAAGTAGCTCCAGCTACATATATTTTAGAAGATCCTATGACCAACCGAGAGCGAGGATTGTTTCATGCTAGTCATTTGAAGGGATTTCATTCAGTTGACCAACTAGCAATACTACCATAATGTAGGTACTATTACAAGTTTTAGGAGGGGGCAAGTTGTAGCATAACCACGTTTCCCTAATTCAGGAACCTACGGTATTAAATAAATGAGTGAGATCTAGAAGCTCTGTATTGTATGTCATTGATCATCATTTGTATATGAAATAGCTTTTTGGGCTAGTTATTGTGAGATTGTCTTCTGAGATCATCTACCTTTAAACCCTGGTATTTCAGGTAAGTTGTTCTTAGATGTTAATGTAATTGTTAATCTATTCAGAATGGTATAATATCGGAATTTACGTGTGATATGATATTTCTTCAAATTAGTTGACATTTGTCTAGTTCAATGTCAGGTATTTGATGTCAGATATATTTCAGATACGAACTGATTTTCAATAAAAAACCATAACGAAGAGTTAGCTTTATTGAAACCTCTTCAAGTTCGATCTTCAAAATGGCAAATGGTGATTATTCCACCCAACTAGGGGCTACTTTAGTTGAATGACATACCGAGTTTTGAATAAGTATTGACGTGTTGTGAATAGTATTATCAAAACAATTTTTCGAATACTAACCTGACTCAAATGTTTCAGTTCATTTCTCAAAGTATTTACGTCAGCCCTCTGACAACTGAAAACTTCTTGTTCCATTCGTATTCTCCACAGTTGTTCTTCCCAAGAAGCATCGAAAGCAGTTGCCATTCTGTCCAGTTCCTGTTGTTGTCTACAAATATTATACAAGGATTCATTTTGGCGCTCACACAAGTAATTTTCTATCAACTTCGAATTCGATTGTGAAACAATGATTTTGAATTCCGTTCAGAAGCAAGTATCAAGTATCAACCCCTAGTATCAAGACGATTTTGGCCTGGGCGGTAAATATATATGTATGGGTGAATGTTCCATGTTCATGAATTACCTGTATATTTTGTCATAGAATTTTGTTGAATCTGAATTTTTGACAGACACCTTCTACTTTATCTGAAATTTCTGGTGGTGTATAAGATTGAAATTAAATGTCGAACAAGTATGTAGAAACAAAGAACACTTAATTATCCCCAAATATGTGTTTCTATAGACGGAAATTTCATTCTTTGATGAAAAGTATGTGTTTTCATTGGTGAAAATCTGTTTCATAATGCGAAAATCCATTTTTTTATTCGCCAGAGATTTTTGAAAATCACAAAAATTCTGGATACTCCACCATTTTGTTTCTTTCAATTATTGGATTTTCAAATGTTCCATTGTGTACTACAGTTCTTTATCTTTGAAATGACTCTAAGAAATCCAAATTCAATTGAATTTTCATGAAGCCTGAAGCAAAATAATAATAATCGTTTATGCGAGATTAGCACATTCACTCCATAAGAAATTGCAAAGAAATGAGTGTATCTACTGGACTATTTGTTCTATTTCGATGTTCGAGTACTCACTCTCTTCAGAAATGAATAGCCTAAGATAACATCGGTGAAGGTTGGAAAAAATCTGATTTTCTTTTTCTCCAGCGGTTTTTGTAAATGGCAATACTTTGGTAGAATCCGCCATTTTGTTTTTGTTCATTATGAAATTTTTTAAATATTCCACTAAATACCATAGCCCTTTAGCTATAAAACGACGCCAAGAAATTCGAATTCGGTTGAGAAATGATGAAACCACGAGGAAAATAGAAACTTCCGGTTTTTTTGTGACCACCCGATATATATTTTTATCCATGCATACCTATCCTATATTTGTGATCGTCGTTCTTAAAATTGTGCTTCAAGCGGTCTATCTCTCTAGTCTCGATCCAAATCAATGTGTTAAATGATCCAAGGTGACAAAAGTGTGGTATGCCATGGACAATTATTGACAGTATTGTATTTGAATCTGAATGAAAATCAATTTGACACTTGTCACATTGAATTTGTTTATTGTGTAATTGAGCTCTTTTCTACCTTGAACGAGAAAGAGGAAAGTTCTCTCCTCTTCCATCTTTCTCTCCAATGCTACCAACGTGGCCGCATTGAAATGTAGAGAGGTCCGATGAATCTTACCTTGTCTAACATCTAGTTTGTGCCACTGAACTATTTTTGAATTCAACAGAGTGTCAAATTAACGATATTAACAAAAGTATGATATACTCTGTAACATCATTTCAAAAATTTTAAATGTTATCAGTCAATGACATTTATGACATAGACACATCACATCATTATAATCTTAACTAACTGAAATATCTCACTAGAACTGAATCAGTTATTATGTGTTCTTTCGAAAGAATTTGATTAGTTGGAATGCATGTTAACTGATTCAGTTCAGTATAAGTGGAATATGTCGGTTCATTGTTGATTCAATGTATACATAATGCTATTTTGTGAATAAATTTATTATTATAGAAGAGAAGAATATTATTTGCGATAGAACATAAGCGTACGCCACCTATCGGAGTTCTTGAAAGCTGTGAAGCGGCATGTGTACTTTGTTTTCATTGGTTCACATTTGTTTTTTGTTTGTGCTTAATGGCCACATCATCACAAACAAACCGCTCAGAGTTCAAGTTGTTACCGTCAGGTGAAGTGACGTATTATTTTCTATCGCGAATAACATTGAAAATAGTTCAGTGGCGTAGACTAGAGGTCAGATAAGGAAAGATTTATCGGACCTCTCTACATTTCATTGCGGTCAGGTTGGTAGCATTGAAGAGAAAGATGGAAGAGGAGAGAACTTTCCTCTCTGTCGTTCAAGGTAGAAAAGATCTCAATTTTCATTTCAAGTTTTGATTGAGTGAGTTTGGAATATGAGGAAGTGTTGGAGATCATTGGAGTTCAGAAAGGAAATTGGTAATTTTTTTTATAAATAGTAGTGATGGGGACACTGATTAGGTACTTGGGTAGGACAGATCGTATACGTATATCTCTATCAACTACCAAGAAAGTAAGCTGAAGCCAACTAATTTTACAGTGATTAGATAATAGTTATTTTCCTAACAAGTGCGCAAAGTGTTACTTTTCCGCACGCAAATACAGTTAGGCGAACGACGCGGAGCGGAGTTCGAATAAGTTTAACAACGAAAATGAAAAAATGTCAACTTAAATTACAATTTATTGAATAATTTTTAGTTAAACTTGATAGAAATAGCTAAACAACAAACAATTACATATCAATAAAATATAATGATAGAAAATTGAATCATTTGTTCCTAATATTTAAATTGATGGGAAATACAAATATAGGGAAGAACGGTTGAGAAGTAAAATGGATAACGGCTTCTTATAGTGCATACAATAGTCTACAGCAACTAAAATAAATATGAATGTTCCACACCAGTGAGATTTTTGGGTAGTTTTACTTATCCGCACTGAGTGCGGAAAAGTATTACTTTGCGCACGCAAATGAGTGCGGAAAAGTACTACTTTGCGCACGCTCGTAGGATAAATATATTCCGTACTCACTACGGATAATTTATGCTCACCTCTCCAAGTTCTGATCGAGATGCAAGCACTCTCTTATCAACACCTCATAACGTGCTATCAACGGTGGCGTCTGTGCTCTCCTTATAGCAGTAATGTCTTGGTGCAAATCTCCAACTTTCTCCTTGACGCTATTGAACTGCTGATTGAGCTCCCTTATTTGAGATTCGAAAGAGCGGCAGTGAGTTGAAAAGGACGTGTCTCCATCTAGGAGTTTATTTTTTAGGGCAGTTTGTTGCTTTTTAGTAGCAGGCGTCGCAGTATCGTACACTCTGGAAGCTGAATCATCAATAATTAATCCATAAGCTGTTGGTATAAGCCCATATTTCGTAACAAAGTAAAAGGAAAATCTTTTATGAAGAGGAATACACTTAAAGTGAAAACAGTTCTTCTGTGATGAATAAATCAACAGAACAAAACTTACACAGGGTGTAAAGTGAAAACATCACCCCATGCTCTATGTTTGCGATGTTGCCTAGCCTCAGTAAAATTCTATTCGGTAAAAAGTTAGTCACATTCCGAATCATTGGGACTTCATCTCGGGACATTCTTGGAATTTCTTACCTATTCGTGTGAAATAGTTGTTTATTATACATGTCGGGAGACAACACAACCGGGAGCTAAAATCTAGTAATTATCCCGTGTATAATATACTTCTGTGACAGGAAAAAGAACGAATCAATATTAGAAGATATTACAATTTCCGCACAGGGAAAGGAAATTTTTTAACATTTTGCTCAGAATAGTGATTGGCACAGGTGCCGTCCGATGAACTACAATATTTTCACTTTCCTTTGGGACATATATCATTTCGCTATCAGATGACGGTAAAAATCTGCAGCACGCTCTCCTACTACTAGGAAAAATTCACCCCGTTGCACAAATACAATCCAACCACCGGCACCTGTTAGGAGGCTAGAATTTTGTCAGATAACCATAAGCCTAGGTACCAAATTTAGTCATTCCATTTAGAACATTATTATTCCTACAACAGATATAGCGAATATTTGCAATCTATGTAATATATAATGACCTCATCTCGGAAATCGTTCAGAAATCGATCAAACTCTCATATAGAGTGGGGTATGTTTCGAAAGCTCTTTGAATGTTACTTTCTAATGGTGACGATATATACAGGGTGTCCCATAAGTCATGGATCAAAAGAAATGGGGTGGTAGGAGGAGTCATTTGCAATCAAACCAACGATATATGTGGATTTCAATTTGTTGATGATTCAAAAGATATTCAATTTTTCTGAAAAACGCGACCCAATTGAAAAAATAATAACAAAAAGGCTGTTGTAAATAACTTTACATATGTTATACCATTTTGGAATCTGTATTGAATGGGTAACTTCTTTTAAAAATTGGTCATATTTGTGGAGTAGTTTTTAAATCTATCAGCAGCATCTAAAAATCATCTTAAATATTTCATTCAATGACAAAACTCAAGGAAAACAATATATTTCTCAGGTAATTGATAAGAAGTGAAACATGTCATAAAATTCTGTGGAATTCTGTGGAAAGGTGCATCCATGTGGATAATATTTGTGAAAGAAAAAATCATAACGGTTACATAGTTTTATATTTTATTTTATTTTTTTTATATAGCGATGAAAAAAAATCAATAACTTTTGAAACATCAACAATTGGATAACCACATATATGGTTAGTTCGATTGGAAATGACTCCCCCCCCCCTACTACTCCACTGCTTTTGATCCATGACTTATGGAACACAATGTATAGGGTTTTTATTCATAATTCATACACTTTCTATTTCCTGTATATTTCCTCAGATAGTGAAAACGTATCTTTCGATTCAAGAAGTAAAAAATATCCCCTGTGTGACTGTTTTTTTATCTGCTGTCAAAAATAGAAGAGTTATAGGGGGTGACACCCCGGTACTCTTCAAATAATTCATATGTATGTTTGATAAATTCTCATATTTCTATGTATTGGTATAAAGGGCGAATGAAACTGTGACGAATAAGTGAGGCTTGCATTTGCGTGTAGTTTTATAGTTCACATTATTACTCGATCGCACTGTCATCATTACTGGATTCACCACGACAATGATCTTTTTTTTTATCGCTTGGAGCGCACGAAAGGAAATCCCAATAATGTTCAAAGAACATCGTGCGTTCCTAGGAAGGATAGGGACAGGAGGTAGGTATTGGATTTTTTTTTGAACTTTTGGAGATTATATGTTGTTGGGAATACTTCCACAGGCAATGAATTCCAGAGCCTAGCCGTTCTATGGATGAAGGAGTCTTGATAAAGTGCTGTTCGACATCTTTCGAGGTTGACAACGAAAGGATGTGCTGACTGGGCTTGTCTAGTTCGTCTGATTGGTATTGCTAGTGAAGGGATGATAGCAGAGATTACCGAAGAACATTTCCCGTGGAAGTATCGATAGAAAAGTGAAAGGTCGCCGACCTTTCTACGGTGTTCCAATGATGTCAAAGAGTGAGTGAGTGAGTGTGGCGTCACCCACCAGGCGAATGGCTCTCCTCTGGATGGAATCTGAGAGCATCAGCGTATGTTTTGGTGCTGAACCCCATATGTGGGAACAGTATTCTAGAACAGGACGTATCTGCGCTTTGTAGATCATGAGAAGCTGTTGAGGTGTAAAGTAGCTTTTCGCACGGAACAAGAATCCGAGTTTTTGTGAAGCAGGTCAGGTCAGGAGACCAAGCAAAATTCGTCTAATAGTGTGTTGACGGAAGACGATTTCGGGCATTCGACTCTCAACGGGTGGAATGTCTGGCGGCAGTTTTCCTTGGGAATCTAAAGTAGAGTTTGCTGCGAACATTTCTGCAAAAATATTTGCTTTCTCCTGCGATGTTGTTGCTAATGTGCCGTCGGATTTGGACAGTGGTGGAAATGAACTAATAGTGAAATTTCTTCCGACCGCTTTAGCAAGGGACCAAAACGAACGGGAGCCGTTGGGTCAATCTATGAGTTTCGATCTTATTTTGGCACTGTATGTTTCTTTCGAAGCATCTATTGTTCTAGTCGCGAGGTTAGAGTTTTTGCGCCAGCGATGGTAGGCTGTTTGTTTCAAGGCAACAGTTCTAGAACAGTTTTTGTTGAACCAGGCTTTCGAAGGTGATGATCTTTTCGAAAAATGAGGTATGTATGTGTCCATTCCGAGCATGATGATCTCGGATATTTCCGCAGCACACTGTGAAGGGTCCTCAGAGTCAAAGCATACTCTATGCCAAGGAAACTCGGAGAAAAACATGCGGAGACCGTCCCAATCTCCTGAATTGTAATGCCATATAAGACGGGGGGGGGGGGGGTGCCGGAGAAGTTGATGGAATGAAAAATGGGCAGGTTGTGGAGATGAGTGTGTGGTCAGAATTGCCAAGTGAAGCTCGTACATCTATGGTGTAGGGTGCTGAATTATTAGTGAGGAATAAGTCAAGTATGTTAGCTGGATGGTTATTGGCATCGGGAATTCGTGTGGGTTCTTTGATAAGCTGCTCTAAGCCGTGAGTGATGGCCAAAGCTTCGGCTTGTCGCCCAGCTTCATCCGTTCTGTTAGAGTGTACGAGCCAAGCAGTGTTGTGTACATTGAAATCGCCCATGATGATGATTTCTGCTGCTGCATGGTTCTGTTGAATTTGGTCAAGCTTCAGAGACAAGAATTCGAAGAGCTCTTCATAGGATGGATCATTTGGTGATAAGTAGAGACAACAAAGGTATTTAGTCTGTTTCTGGCTATCGAGTTTGAACCACATGACATCAAACTTATTTGGTTCCAAAGTTTTTTCTCGTTGACATGAGAGATTCGTTTTACAGTAGAGGCAGAGACCTCCCTTGAATCTGAAACGTGTGTGGAGTTCGTACCCAGGACAGAGCAGATAGGTCGTATTGGTGGATCTACTGTCATTATGTAATGAAAATTGAGTAAGTTACGCATTAATGACTCAATAGTTGTAGAAAAAAAATACTATGATAAATGTGGAAAGTGGAGGTGCCTTATCAACTTCTCAGAGAATCGGACCAACTACATTTTCCAAATTGAAAATGACCAACCCAAATACGTACTTGCCGCTAATTCAGATTGATGTTGGCTTACGGCAGCTGGACCAATCCATGGTTCTAGGCATTGTGCAAACTCAGTTCTATAGTTTGTTCTGATCTGGGAAGATTGCAGTGATCTGAAAAAATAAATAAGAACGATGATAATAACAATCCTGTGCCCAATGGCAGAAATGTATGATATTCGCGACTGACACGAAGTGGCTGAACTCTGGTATCAGTTTTGGCACTAACAACAAAAATAAACAACAACTCATTCATCATTGCCCAGTAATTGTACTAATATTTCAAAATTCAATTCAGATTCTATTTCGACAGTTTTGTAATTGTGAGCTTTTTTGTGTTTTGAAATGATCATTTAGCAAATAAACAAAATGGTAGAAACGATGGACTGGTATCGTTTCTCCATAGAATTTTTTTTCTGGTCATGAAATCATATGAAAAATGGAACATCTTGCCCAAAATTGGTAAACACATAACCTGGCATATGTATGCTTGTGAAGATCGATCTCTTCAAGCAATGGTTCAATAACAACTGATAATAATAATAATAAAAATAATAATAATTTATCCATTTCAGCAATTGTCATGTAAAAAATACAGGGATATAGTGAAAAATGTCAAAAGGTGGAAAAATTCTGATCTACACCTATTCATATAAATATACACTTATTTACACATAAATACACATCAATTAACACATACATATGAAAAGCATGTTGACTATCACATTTAAGATTATAAAGTATCCTAATCAAAAAATTCTTCTATGGTGTAGCAGTTTTTGAGGAGTAAGTGTTTTTTCAGGCGATTTTTGAAAATTGTTAATGAAGCTACATTCTTTATGTGATCCGCCAGAGAATTATAGCATTTGCATCCAATATATTCAAAGTTTTTCTGATATCGAACGGTGCTATGCCGGTGGGGTAGAATAAGGTTTTTTCGTCTGGTATCATGTTCATGCTGTGTTCTGATAGCATTATAATTAGCCTCATTTTTGGAAATGAAACAACACGCTTCGAGGATGTACATGCCATAACAGTCACGATATTACATTTTTTAAAGATATTTCTCCATGAGTCTCGTCTACTTAGTGTTGCAATTATCCTAATCGCGTATTTTTGTAATCAAAACACCCTTTGTACAGAAGAACTTGCTCCCCAATTTAAAATTCCGTATATCATATTATGAGAATGGAAGTGGGCGTAGTATAACGGCAGAAGGATATTTTCGCTGAAATGACTCGACATAAACTCTAGTGCGTAACATCCTCTTCTAAGTTTGCCGCAGACAATGTGAAAATGTGAATTCCATGAAAGTTTTGAGTCAAAGGTAATTCCTAGCATTTTGATAGAGTCAGAAGAAGACACGACATCATCAGTATTCTCAAACAATGAAAACTGGCGGTGTTCCTGACTATTTGCACCAAACATTAGGTCTTTGTCTTATTAAATATTAGATGATTTTTGTCTGACCATATTATCATTTTAGTATAGGTAATCTCAGCGAATGTTTTTAATGATAATAAATCCTCTTCTATAATTAAAATGTTTGTGTCATCTGCATAGCATATTGTAATAATTTTATTGTGTTCATTCAAGTATGATATGATGTCGTTGGCAAATACTAGAAATAGGAGGGGGCCTAATATTTATCCTTGTGGGACACCTTGCGTAATGCCTAAGGGATTACTGTTAGTGTTATTTATTTTAATAATTTGCTGTCTGTCAGATAGATAGGATTCTAGCAAGCACAACGGTGTTCCCCTCAGTCCATACCTTGATAATTTTGTTAATAGAATCTCATGACTAACACAATCGAACGTTTAGAGAAGTCTATGAAGAGACCCATAACATTTTTTTTTATTATCAAGAGATTGAATAATTTTATTTTGGAAATCGCATAAGGCTGTCTCAGTACTTTTATTTTCTGTAAAACCGTGTTGCGAAGATGATAATAATTTGTTTGATGTAAAGAAACTGGTCCATTGAAATTTGATATTCAATTCATATAGCTTAGATATGCTGCCTAACACACTTATAGGTCTGTAGTTGTTAAGGTCATTGTGATCTCCTTTATTAAAATAGGGTGTCACTCTTGCTATTTTCAAATTTGTTGGATAATGTACTATTGAAGCTAAAGTTTCAATATAGATGGAACCAAAGAATTTGTTAAAGCTTCAATAATTATAATTCTGATTTTGTATAGATTGCATTTTTATAATATTTAATACTCACCGTACTGGCTGACTCAAATTCCCTACAGCAGCAAGTCTTTCAATTAATGATGGGCACAATTCCAAAAATTGGTATTTATTTGCTGCTGCTGTGAAAGTTGTGCATAGGACCAGATGAAGCTGAAGAACTGGCATGACAGTACCTAAAAATCATTGCAGCATGAGGAACAGCTACACACTTCGAAGGATATGAATTCAAGCGAGTGAAACTCGGTCACATTCAAAATAATGTTGGTTAGCCTTAATATCAGCGCAAAACCTCAAACACACAAACACCTACACCTTCTCCCAAATACACCCAAGACACGACACTACAGGGTATGTCACGATGTTCTTTGAACCATTATAGGGATTCCCTTTCGTGCGCTCCAAGCGATGAAAAAAAATCAGTCGGGAGAAATCCAGGAAAATGTGCATGCTTATATATTATTTCACAATACGCTCTCTTCATTTAAAATATTTTCGACAATGCAGTGTTGACGTTTCTTCTATAGCGACATTGATATTGGTATTTTTATCGCATTTTTAGATTCTCCCTGAAGAGCTGATTTCATCGATATATCACACTTGCGGTCTATCAAAAATGATTACAGGGATATTCATTATCGGTGAAAACGGCTCACATGTGTCCCTATCTTAACTTTTGATTTACTATTTACTGATATTTAATCGGAACAGATACAGAGTGATCAGAATTATGAATATTGAACCCAGATAGGGACATGTGAGCCGTTTTGGCCGATAATCAATAGTTTCGACACAAACAAATCCTAAAGTTGAAAAATCTTGATTTTGAACACCCTATATCTCTGTAATCATTTCTGATAGACCCCAAGTGTGATACATCGATGAAATCAGCTCTTCAGGGAGAATCTAAAAATGCAATAAAATACAGGGTATTCTATTTGAAATAACAAAGTTGTTGCTACTTTTTGATAGAAGTGGCAACACTGCATTGCTTCATTCTAAAATGTAAGCATGCATATTTTCATGGATTTCTACGGACTGATTCACGATATAGAGATAGTGTAACCTCGTTGTGACATACCCTGTATATCCACGGCATCACAGGTAACATCTACCTTCGAAGATGTAGTTTAGAATCGATTGAAATCATGATGGACAGCAATGAAAATATGTCAGCTACCTAAATGTATTTTTGCACTGAAGTGATTTCGATCGATTAAATGTCATCATTTTTAATACCTGGAGTAGGAATACTACTAGTTTTTTTTTCGTAAATTTTCCTTCAATAGTTTAGAGTTGATTGATGTCAATGAAAGTGGAATAATATTTCAACCTAATCATCATTCATTATAATTTTAAAT